CTTTTTAGCGGGAATCAGAGATACAAGGAACATCCCTTCTTGTCCTGCCTCCATCCATCCAACCTCTCAAACCGGCCACAAACTCTCCATGAAGCCTCTGGGACCAGAAGGCTATCTCCGCGATTATGCTAATTGACGCTGGCGGCGGCGGCAAGAACTGCGGCGAGACCATCGAGTCTCCACCGCTCGCTTGAGAAAAAAAAGGGATCATGATCGTCCCCAACGGTCGACTGCAGGGACGCAGCCAAGCCTGCGGGGGCGGCAGCTGCTGTGGCGGCGACTCGCCGCGGACTCAAAAGCGCCTGCTCGTCGTCGACCCAGCTCTTACGGAACGCACACGAGCTTGGATGTTTGCGGTCGCGACATTTTCCATGGGGCTGGCTTATGATCGGTGACTGGCCGGGACCGACGAAATGCGGCACGTTCAGCGCGCTTCGTTCTCCGTGAGCGTACGAGCATTCGACGCGAGAATCTGCGACTACCGTGAAGCGTCGAAGTGAAATACTTCCGCGAGCTAATCCTGAATAAAAAAAGGAATGAGTCTACCCCGGAAACATGAAACATCAGGGCCTCGATTCCTCTCCTGCGCCTGGATATCGGGAGCTGCGAGGGCGACTCGATGAGGGGTGATGGGCCCAGGGAAATGTATTCTCAGTCGTTCCCCCAACCGAACTTCGCGTCGCCTACTCAATTTATGAATTCGCCTCTGCTGGTTCTGGAAAATGTCGTTCCCCGAATCACTTGTGCTTGTTCAGTTTTCTTTTGCTTTTTGGATCGATTCCTCCTGGATCTATATAACAGACTTTCTTAGTCTTCCGTTGATCTCTTAGACGGTGTTGTTCGATCTCTCGCCCCAATCCCTCCATTACGAGCTTCAAGCTGGGATGAGCCACGAACCCGAATCGGAAGCCGAGTCTCGAAAACGAGAGACCTGCCAAATATGTCACAAAACCTCGGTCCCCGGCGTTTTATTCTGTCAAAGACGTCGATTCGGTCATCAATTTGCGAAAACTCTCTACTCTATCACTAGTCATTACCCGAGCTCGATCTTCTTCGCGGGAAAAGTTGCGGCTTTTGCAGACCATCCGCGGTGAATGGGAACGGAAATCGCGGAAACCGCGAAATACGATCGAAACTCGTGAAATGGCTGAACTCTATCCGATTTCGCGGGAAAGTGTTCCTGCCTCCAATGAGCCTCAAGCCTTTCTTCCAGATTCCATCCGAGGGGTGTTTTAGATACATTCCTGGCTTCGGAAGCGACTGAAATCGCGAGAATCGCCAGTAAGTGGCGAGAATCGTGGTTTCCGCGAATTCCGCGAAAATATCTAGCCCTACCCATTATATATCAGGCTCGGATCGGTCGGATCAGCTCAGAGCCGATCGCAAGAGTCGAAATGAGCCACATGGGTGAATATTCTCCGCAGCTAAGATACAGTTGTCGTTGTCTTGTCCGAGCAGGGCTGAACCCGACCGAACATGGCGTACCTGCTCTTCGAGGCGTGCACGAACGATAAGAAGAGCCGGTCAGCACTGAGCAGCCTCGGGCGGCGGAAAAATCGTAACCCCTCCGAACGAGGAAGCCAAATATTCCTCCCTGGAGGGCACGGAGTTCCTCTGCCTCCTTGCCGTCCGAGAAGAGGAGCGATTCCGATAGAATTCAAGCGTAAAAAAGAAACCTTCGCACTGGTTTCGGTTTACAACAAAGGATAGTACCCCACAATTCTCCCGCATTCCCTGTCGCTTCTGGGTTTGCCTGTCTGCCGCTATCCTCTTCCCTCCGCGATGTCATCCACGTGCCCGACTGAAACTCGAGCTCCGACTGACCCAAAGTGAGGCCCGGGAGCTCCGAAATAATGAGAGGCTCCGAGACTTCGACAATATCGAGAGTCCGAAAACTTCGATAGAGTTGGAGACAGCGGACGCACGTCGAAATGCGATTTGGGGGTTTGTGTGAACTCATGTCCCGAATAGATTCATTCGATTCGGGGGGGGAGGAGGAAACGCACGGAGCTTTCAGCAGTTTTTCTTCCGTAAGTACGCGGAGGTCGGCATTCCTTAAAATGGATCCGAGACCTGAAACTTTCGGCTGGCGCTTGGTCCGTAATCCGAATGAATACCCTCCAGAACGCATCTCTAGCCGCTCCTTCTTCTATGGCAAAGAGCCGGCCTGTGTGTTTGTGGCTGCGCGTTGTCAGGACGAAAGTGAAGCACACGCTATGACAGCTTGTCAGATTTCTTTTTTGGTGTCTCACACTTGATTTAACGTGCTGATATTAAATGCTAATTTTTCAAACACACAAAGAACAAAAACAAAACAGCTAGACAGCTAGCCAGCGAATTATGCGGCCGGGCTCCCGAGGAGCTCGGGCAGACATTTGAATTCGTACATCTGGATCGGATTCATCATGTGAGCCCCGATTCGTTGAAAGACACCCACAGTCAGTGAAAGAAGGCCAGGAAATGATGGAACTCATTCACAGGGGTTCCTCTTCCGTCTAATGCAGAGACAAATCTGGACGGATCAGGTGCTGATTGAATTTCGACTCAGCGCCCTAACCAGAGATCGCCTGTTCGGAACAAGCGTCTGACGGGGAGAGAATGAACTTCTTGACTCGTTACACAGAGGCAACGCGGTTGACTCCCTTCTGGAATATCCTGAAAGCATGCCCCTGCGGGGCTGGATTCCGTGCGGCTGCGGTCACGGAGGATCGACGGCTGCTCGTTCCATATGGAACTAGGGTATACGCAGGGGCATCTGGCGAGGTATCCGACGGGACATTCGTTAGGGTGCGTCCGCGAGGGCCTCTCCTCCCCATGGACATCGGGAGAACTCGAGGATGGGACTCTGCATTCGGCAAAGAATTTCGAGCCGTGAGGAAGCCGCGCTCGGTTAAGAGTTCATTCGAGGCTGGTGACCGAATGAAGACTCGACAGTATATATCCAGAGCTGTGCGCCATGGGATTTTCGTCGGCGGCGGCGGCGGGCTGGAAAACGGGCGGCGGCGGCGGGCGCCGCGGCGATTTTCGGCGGACCGATGAGCCCACGGCGCGCCGCGGGATAGGTGGAACGCAAGTTCGAAAGTCTTCTGATTGCGTCTCCTTATTTGTCGGGGATGAAATACTATTTGACACGTGCGATCTTCCGATGAATTCAAGTTCAATTGATCAGTCAGAACTCTCAACGACCACGGAGCTTCGGTCCGAAACATCCCGTCTCATTCGAATGCTATGTCTCCGCATTCTCGTGCGAGCTCAGTACCTCGAACCGAGTTTCCAATTTTTTTTCCCGTGGTTTTCTGTTACTTTTCATGAGGATTGGGCACGGCGCGCCGGCGTTCCGTCACGCCGTCGGACGCCGTGCTCGGGTTCCGGCGGCGGCGGCGGACTCCAGAGGTCGGCGGCGGCGATCGCCGGCGAATTCGTGACGCGGCGCACAGCTCTGTATATATCGCATCGGGAGGAGTCGATCCCTGGGCACTCCTTCCGAACATCGCTGGAATGAGCTCGAGTTTATACAAAGCGAGAAACTCGAGAGCGAGTAAAATGTTAGCCTTGGGATTCAAGTTCCGGGATATCGATCGATCCGGAACAGAGTTCCAAGACTGTGAGGTCTCGCCTAGCGCGGGAACACGTGAGAGATGAAAGAGATCAGAGTCTTGGAAACTAGGTAATCTGTGAATGGTTGAGTGATGCACATCCATGATCGCAGCCTTGACTGAACCGCTTGAGCAAGAATCCTACGCGCACGCGAGCGCTGCAGTGGTCTAATGTGAGCTCTGTTGTTATTCGTTGCGTTGTCGTCGCCGATGAATCCACTTGGAATGCTCACTCTCAGTGGCATTGAGAACGCATCGAGACAGCAGCCCCAGAAAATGAAAGACGTCGTCGGAGCTACGGACCGACGGACGGGCGTGTTCGTCGCGTCGTCCGAACAACAGTTCCATGACGTCGTGTCGAATATGTCGAACTAATAGAAGCCATCGGTGGCAGCTATGGTCGTTGGCCACTAACGATTGTTATCCGAGAAGCGCCACGCCGGGGCTTTTCCGCTAGAAAGCGTTTCTGTTCGACAGAAGCCTCTTTGGAGCGCGAAGACGCTTCCGTTCGGAGTGACAACGCACCGCGCTACCGAAAGGACCCGCGGCGAACGGCGGCAATAGCACGGCTGAGTTGCCGTTCGGATATTGTTCAGGACCGGTGCTGGTCGTCCGAACAGGCGGGCTGCCGGTCGGTCGGTCGGCCGCACGGACAGACGGACGGACGGTCGGATGAGACCGTGACCATAGGCGGAAACCGCGCTGGCAGCAGGAGCCGGCAGCAGCCCTCCGGAGTGGCTGACACCGAAGCGAGCACAGCCGAGCGGATGGGTTAGGGCACGAATCAGCGGCTCCCTCCTCCTTCGGGGAGAGGGATCCCTTTCCCGACTCCTGAGAGAGAATTCGGACTTGTCAATAGTGAACACGCCGCGCGCAGATCCGCTGTGTTCCTCTGAGAGAAGCCGTCGGGCTGCCGTTTGGATTCGGCATATATCGAAGAGGAATCTGTCAAAACACGAAATCTGTTCTGTGCGATCAGTTGGTGGTAGAAGTGAGTGTGTCACCGCGGGTTTGACTGAAGAGACTCGGAGGCGGCGATCACGACCCGGGAACCAGAGAGAAAACGCCCGAGGATTTATATTTGTGCAGGAAAATTTCCACGCGATCAACGTCATGTTATCATAGGAGACGAAAGCATGTCTCCGCTCCGGATGAGGCATTGCAGCAGCTGCAGAGGCTCTGTAGACTCGACTCTGGCGTCTAGGTGTGCAAAGTCGAAGGTTCAACAGTTAGCCAGATGTTCGGGTTGAACCCGTGATCGCGGATTTGTGTGGTGTTTGCGAATCCCAGCAAACCAACTCACCAATCGGATACAAAGTCTTTGTTCTAACTTTATTACCATAAGCTTGTCAAGCGAGGCGGGGCAGCAGCAGCAGCGGCAGCAACAACAACGACGACAAAACCATGAAATCGCTGACGAGACTGCTGTTTGTGGTGACCGTATGTTGTGCGGCAGTTGTCATCGGTTCGTCGAGAGTGCACTTGGATCCAACAGACAACGCGTATCGGGGGATCGTTGTCGCGGTCTCGCCGAAGATAAAACCCGTTCTCGGGAGGCAAATCATCCCCAATCTAGAGGTAAGTCTCACTTTTACTATCGGACGCCTTATCGAGGATTATCGCCGGATTTTCCGCGTGCGATTGCCTTGAGCCTTCATTGACGGGGAAGTTCGACCAGGAAGTCGATCAATCAATCAATCGGAACACCGAAAGAGAGCGTTCCGCTTCCCTCCCTCGGGTCCGTTGATTCGAAATTTCTTTGGAGTCGGAATCTCATTCAAACTCTCGGAACTTCGACCCTGAGTATCCGGTCGGTTCCCGCCAGTCTCTCGGACTGAAGTTCGTGTCCCTCCTCTCCCGTTTGTCCGTCGGCCAGTCCCCCGGCTATACGTCTCCGGCGATTGGCGCCGACGACGGGAAAAAGTTTCTCCCGATGCTAATCGCTCTCCGATGCCAAGCGGAATGGAAGAAAGAGACCGCGCTAGACTGGCCGACCTGAGATCAGGAGGAAAGCGAATCAAATCATGTGACTCGATAGGGATGATGATGATGACGGTGGCGGCGGCGGAGCCGAGCGAGATGATGATGAAGACACGCTTTCTTCGCGGTAATCACGTCAAAGACTGATCAACGCGTGCTAGACCGTTGGAAGACCTCGCCGCCACGGCTCTCAGCGTCGTCGACGACGATGAACGGTACATTATACACAGCGGAGCCGTTCTTTGTTTATGTTAAACAATAACTCGAAACAAAACAAGAGTTCGCGCACAGTTCCACAGGCTCGCGAGTTAGCTCGCTCGCTGGCTAGCTAGCGAGAGAACGAACGGACGAATGAGGAGCTAGCTGGGTCAATAGATGTGTGAAGCTTTGCCACAAACAGGGCTCGCACAATGTGCGTCTTTTCAGAAGCGCAAACCTCAAACGCGGGCAGTCTCATAACAAAAAAAATTGATATCATCCCCCAGCCGGTGCAAGGCGTTCTGTCCGCCCCTTGTCCTGCAGCACGACATGCCGCTCCGACGGCGCGGCGGACGTTCTCCACGCTGGGAAAACTGAACCTTTTCCCTCGCTCTCCGGTCCTGCCGACAACTGCCGATCTCGGTCGCTATGAATCTTTTCCGGATCGAGGCCTGCATGCGATTCTTCGTCGATTTTCGGCCATCACCGGAGAGGCATCGCTTCCGTGGACGGATTAATCGAAGCGACCGTTGGGATCGAACATGTGCGTTGAGCCCACGAAGAACTGGACGCGCTAATCATTCGTGCATCTCGTCGGCTCCTTCGCTTCATATTCCGTTGGTCTCGTCGGATCCATCTATATTCTACATGTATCATTCGTTCCCCGTATCACGGCTTTCCTTCTCGTCTGTCGTATCATGTCGTATTCTTTTGGCGATCCGCTTTGAATCGGAGTCCGAATTCGCTTGCCGGGAATTCGTCCGAAGACAGACCTGTTGCTCACAGACATTGCCCATCGTTTCTGACGTTAGTGATCCCGTTGCTCGCTCGCGCCAGGATGAGTGCGCTTGTGACTCTCGTTGAGCCGAAAACGTGCTCGCCTTCTCCAGCGCGTCTGCCGATCGATTCAGCGTGAAATTCGGTAGCTGAACGAATACATCGATTCCAGGATTTTGAATCAAGTGTCGATCGATAGCACCTGTTGGTCGGCAGACACCGGCAGTTAACCCGAAGACGCTGTTGGTAAACATATGATTCCGTAGCCGATTCGCGGATTCGGCTCTTCGGGAGCTGCTCCCCCGACAGAAAATTGTTTTTATTCCGTCGTCGCTGACAAACATAGCCCGAAACAGTTCTACGTGTACGGGAAACACTCGCGTGTCGATATTGGTGCGAGGGCGCGCGCCACCTCATCCGTACAACTTCCGCTGTGAGGCACCTGGCTGAAAAATTCTGCCTTTGAATAACAGCTAGACTCACTGACTGAGCTCCGCAGTCAAGCAGAGAGTCAGTCGGTGGCTCGCCCGCTCGCTTGCTCGATGACAGGAAGGCATACGGAAAAAACCCAACCTACGGAAAATCCACCGTAGAGCAGTCACTGCCTCGTAGAACACGTCACACAAAATGTCCGCGACGATGGAGTTTGTGAGGTGTGAACTGATCTAATTTCTGACCCATTTGAAAGGTCCGAGTTCGACCATTAGCTCCTCCGACGTGACGGTGGCTCGAGTCGTCCATAGTAAGTCCATCGACGGAGACGGCCGACGACATCGAAATCCGCACGTCGGGCCCGCCGATCCATCGCGGGACGGACGTCAGGATCCGTCATGAGCTGCTTAAACAGCACCGTGTAGAACGTTGATCGGTCGTCATGCATGGTTGGAAGTCCATAGACCACCACCACCACCATCATCAGTGACGGTGGCCGGCCGAACCACCTGAATAACGCTACGACGAGCGAGCGACGAGTAAGCAACGGCCAACTTTCAAATAGGACATTCAGAACAGCAGTATCGAGTCGGTAGCGGTGGTAACGGCGAATTTCAGAGAGCTGACTGACTGACTGACTGACTGAGCCAGTGGCTCCTCCACATAGCCATAGCCACAACCACTTGTTAGCACGCTCAACCGGCGATGGAGCGCCCGATTACTCGACTGACTGATTGTCGGACCGGAAAAACCGTGACAAGCAGCTGGAGATTGAAATTCGAGTCTCAATCGATGATTCTCGTTCTGGAATGCATCACGTCCGGAGTCTGGACCTCTGGCTCAGTCCCACCCTGTTCAGATCCCGGATGAACTCCGTTCGGATCGACACCGCATTTCGCGATCACTCGTCCACCACCGTCTGCGAGAATTCTGTGAATTCTCGATCATTTGGAAATATTCCCACTTGTGTTGACGGGTCTAAATTTGAGTGCGTTTTCCAGATGTTGCTTCTTTCAATTGTTACAATCACGATCGCATCTATCGTTTTCTGGAACCCTCAGGGAGAGCCCTCGTCTGTGGATATCGTGAGACATCCAGTATCGCAAATGAAACTCTGTCTGGCTCGCCCAAGGTCTCCATTAGAGCGGAGTATTCACGCAAACTATTTTGAGTTCGTCCATTCCCCATTAGCATCCGTCGATGCATCGTATCGACCCGAGAACATTTTCACAATGACTGAAGAACTTCAGACGATTATTTTGGACGACTGGCTGAGTGAACCAACTCTGAGAGTGCTCGGAGCAAGTTCTCGAAGGTCACGAATGGTCACCGAAGTTGGCCTGGCTGCACATCGCGGAACTCGAGCCCGCCTCTAACCTGTTCCCGTCGTCGTCGTCGTCGACGCCGCAGTCGTTTGGCGGAGATCTGAAAGTTGTAGATAGTGGACCACCAGATGTATTTGACATCTCTTCAACATAGTTCCAATGTTCAGAGTAGAGATTTCGAGCGCTCCACTAGAAAACGGTTCCGAGTCGAGCATGACGAAACTCTTCGGCGACCGTCCGCTCGCAGAAGTCGGACTGACTCGCTCGGCGAAAGTCGGAGCTAGATCGAGCGAAGAGACTCGAGGAACCTACTCTGAAACTGCGAGCAGCGAATCCGAAACTGAGGCTTGTTTCTGCATCTTCCTTCCTTTGTCCGCATTCCCGGGCCAGATAATTCGATATCCCGTCGAAAGCGCTCCCGCGGTCGACTCGGTTCGGTCCCGAGGCGGAATCCAGTGGCTGGTTTGCTTGTTTGCTCGAGTTCTCTAGACCGCAGCAGCCCCTAATCGAATGCATATGCTCTCGACTAGCCTTGGGTGGAAATATTTCGGATCAACAACGATTCCTCTCTTTATTTTCTCGTCCGTTGCAGTCGAGGTGTTGAACAGATCCATGTGGATGTCCCACTCTTCCTTTTTCGCGCGCTTCGCCACCATCGCCGCTCAGATGCTGGAAACAGATTCGTTTCTTGGAGAGGCCACCGATCGTCATGTGGAAGAAGAACACAATGAGGGTTGGGCATGATCTGTTTTCAGCGGCTGGTCCATCGGTCTGTTCGCAAAAGCCTCCCAGAGATCGTCCGAACGAACATAGTCCACGGTTTTTCGCTCGGAAAATAGCACGCCGCCGGTGGCTGCGGGGAAGGAGGGTCGGGGGCTTGTAGTCGTCGCCGCCGCCGTCGTTGTTTTCACCGATGCTCGGAGCTTGTATGGAAACAAGGACGGCTTCGAGGAACGCATCTGATCGCTTGTCGTCGGAGGAGAAAACGCGCCGTTCGATTCCACATGTGCCACCAAATGTGGGGGCGATCACTGGGGCGCCAGATGTCAGTCAGGCAGTCAGTGCGTGCCGCCTGCAGACCTTCGGGTGTTTTCGTCAATAGTTGTAAACTGCTCAAATATCGACCGCGCCCGACCGTTTGCTTGCTCGCCTGCCTGCGAGCCCGCCCGCCTTCGCGATCGCTTCGTACGCGCCTTGTACTTTGAACGTTCTGAGCTGCCTGCTCTCGATCCGAGACGTTTGGGCAAATACTGAGCATCTTGACTCTGCCGTCGCCGCCGCCGCAGCCGCCGACGACACCGGGTTAGCGAAGGACCGAGAAAAAAAGAGATCCTGATAGCGGAGATTGCCTGGGGAAGAAAAAGACATCATACACACACTCTCTCACCGAGACGACGGCTTCTTTGCTCCGAGATAGCGGGCAAATGTCTAATCTCCAGCCAGCCTGGAGCTCTCGGAGTCTGTGCATACAGCCAGATATGATTTCTCCGCTTCATTTTTCCTGTGAGGACCGCTGGTTCTCTGGATGCCCTTTCCCGCACTCGATGAGATCCGAACTCGGTTCTCCTCGTCTGCGACATCTTGTTTGGCATCTTCGTTCAATAAAGCGCGACAGCGGCGGCTGCGACAGCAGAGACGGCGGCACCGGCGTCCTCGGTGTCGGCAGCAAGGACAAGGCTTTTAGGGCCGAGGGTACGTGACGTGAACGTTCTTATCGCGGCATGCATGCGTGCCGCATCAAGGCGGTCATGGAGTCGCGTTCTCAGCCGAAGCATCGGACACAGACGTAAAATCACAGGGAATGTAATTCGAATCGGATTGTCTCATGTCAGTTCTACTGTTCGTTTGAGCGATTACTTGGAGAAC